GTTGGGGAAGGAGAGGGTGGGTCCCTGCAATTTATTGAGGTGGCTTCCCCATTTCATGCTATAACCACTGTAGAAAGTGCGATTTACATGTCCTGTACATGACTTCTGAACATGTTGGGGAAGAAGAGGGTGGGTCCCTGCAATTTATTGAGGTGGCTTCCCCATTTCATGTTCTAACCACCCTCCTAAAGTCTCAGACTTCATGGAGCTGACTGGTTTCAAGTGTAGGGAAACTGCACTGTCTTTACCACAAAGTTTTAGGGGACTGTAACTGCATCACAAAGTTGAGGTAGCACACTGTTAGAGGTGAATGTCTGTACACTGACAATTGTGTTGTATGCCAACAGTAGTGAGTAATCCCTCAGGAGACTGGTCTTAGCTCTGACAGAATATTATCCTCCTCCCTTGAGGAGTGCACTCTACAGTCAGTAGCTATGCCTGTCGGGGTACTACTACATTGAAGCTACACACTACTCACCTAAACATCAGTGCACATAACTATTGTATGCAGTATATCAGCACCCTTCCTACATGCACCTTCACATAGTATTCTGAACAAGGTGGTTACTATTTATAGGCTCCTCTTTTCTTACAACTACATATATATATTATCTGGTTTTCCCCTGGGAAGCTTTCTACCTCTGCAGGTCTTTAAAGGCTGTGATCTTCTGTCTAAGGGGCACTGGTGTCTCAACCATAGCTGACCTGTCAGAGGAAGGAGATCACTGTACTCAGCTTATCAGGGGCCTTAGCAGGTGGGGCTCTGAAGTGTTTTCCCCAGCCCTTATCACCGTGCTGACTTTACACATCCTGTGCCCTTATCACCACTGCTGACATAGCTATTGTAAAACCCTATCCTAGCCTTCTATACTATAATTTTGGCTGCATTCCTCACTCTTTTATTGGTGCATACCATCTTTATGTTCTAAGGTGCTGTGCACTTGTCAGACCTGGACCCTACAAGCTTCTACTACACATCCACTACGCTCTTTGGCCTCCACCTTTGACTTCAGCTGGGTAGACCTCTTCAAAAGAGTGAACTCCTTGCACAACAATCATTATCATTATGTTGATGTCTCACTTGCGCATCGCCCGCGCTACGCGCGAGAGGCGCGCGCAAGTGCGTAAAAATTGCAACGTCACCCGGCCGCCGGTACTAACTAGGTAGGGAGCGCGCGCCGTGCGTGCGTCGCGTACAGAGTGTGCGCCGAAGCAGCCCCTCCCCCTCGCTCTGCAGCCCGAAAAGGGTGGGGCTGAGTATGCGCAAAAAAATAACTGGAACAAGTGGAAAAATCATTTCTTCAAAATGAAGGGGGATGTAGGGATGGTGTAAATTATGAAAAAGGATGCCAACAAGAAGATGCTTCAGCCGACAACAAAAATCGTACATCCATCCCTACATCTATCTTTACAGTCACAACCTCGACTGTGATAATTATGGTGTGAATAATGTGATCTTACATACTCTATGACAAGTAACCACACACATGTATACAGCGCAAAGAGAGAGAAAGACGTAGGGATGATGAACGATTTTGTGTCGGCTGAAGCACTTCTTGTTGGCATCCTTTCATAATTACACCATCCCTACATCGTGCATTTGAAGAAATGAGTTTTTCTCCACTTGTTGACTATATACGTAGCCTGTCTCAGTTCTCGGCAGACTATAAATTTCTAGACATAAGTGGCACTCTCATTAAGAAAACAAAAATTGGCTGGCTCCACATTCTATCGCAAACTAACCCGAAAATAGACGTGGTCACTATAAAATCACCAACAGAACATTAAAGCAGTATCTAAATGAGTGCTTACACATGCATTCTTTTACATGCCCACTCTCATTAAGAAAAAATGCTGGCTCCACATTCTATCGCAAACTAACCATGAAATATACTGGTCACTATACATTTTTCAAAATCACCAAGCAGAAAATTAAAGCAGTATCTTACTATCTAAATGAATGCCTACACATGCATTCTTTTAGCAACAAGTGTAGTAGCCACATGCCCACTCTCATTAAGAAAAAATGCTGGCTCCAAATTCTATCGCAAACTAAGCACTCCTTCCTCTCCTCCTTCCCCCTATGCCCACCCAGCTCTTCATTTAGCCCATACGTGCCTGACCTGAACTTTAACATTAATCACAAACATGCTCAGCCATTAATCGAACATTTTCATCATCAACATTGCGTCCGCAAAGGAATCCGATATCCTCTTTTCTTGTAAAAAGTAAAGGCGTTTAGCTAATTGATGTGCATTTAGCCAACCTCGCAATTTTCTCCATCTCGTATAATAGTTTTGCTCCTACTCCCATTTTTAAGTAGGTTGGATGTACAAAGAGCCAATGCAGCTGACAGAGATCCTCCATCTCAACAGAGATACGACCAAAGCCAACTATAGTTTTCCCTTTGAGAGCCACTAACACTTCACCGTTTACTATTGGTATCTCATAGCTACGTGTTTGCATTGAGGGAGCTCATTAACCCTCGGCGTGCATGCGCCGCGAGGGTTACGGTAGTCGTTCTGTGTGTCTGTCTGTCTGCGTGTCTGTCTCTGTCTACGACTATTCTCGCACCACAGGATACGAGGCGGCTTATGAGCGATACCAACAGCTTCAGCGGTACATGGGCTAGAAAAATGAAATGGCGATTTTGTTGAAATGACTACGTTCGAGATCGACAAACTGACATCAATAAGCGGTGCGCATGTGTGTATTAGACGCGATCAACGGCTTATCTCGACAGATCCGCTTGCTCTGTCTACCTTGGAGGCACAAGAAGCCACAGCGAAGGGTGTATCACACCGCATACCGCATGCTATCTACTACTGTAGCTAGCCAGTGTCAGACTATCCGCAAGCTACTAGCGGGAGACCGTGAGTAAACGCCAATAGCCCAGCCCAACCATTAGCGGTACCGCGCATGCGTAGTTCGCCGACACTTTAGCGCTATTACGCGCTATGCAAGCGGGCACACAGCTATAAAACACCGACGAAAAATATTCTAGCAAAAGGCACCATTTACACAATCGATGGCAGCGACAGGTTGCGATTGCCGGTTCAAGGACCCTCTCGGAGCCAGACTTTCTCCCGAACAGTACCAGGAGCTCTTCAAACCGTCCGAGTATTTGAAATTTATAGAAGCTGGTTTTTCGTCGCAAAACGCTTTTCCCCGTCATACGCTTCAGTGCTACCACGAGTTTTTCAAATCTGTTCCAAACGGAGTTAAAGTGCTGGACTTTGGTACTGGACCCGTCATGCTATCTACCATTTCCGCAGCAACGAAAGCGTCTGAGATCGTCTTGGCGGACTATTCCGAAGCGAACCTTGCATATCTACGACAGTGGCTTCAGAATGACCCTCAAGCTTACGATTGGTCTCCGTATTTCCGTTACGTCGTCCAGGAGCTAGAAGGGGTAGGCGATCGGGAAATGGACGAGAGGGAAAAACAAGTTCGGCAACTCGTAAAAGACGTTGTCCACTGCGACATTACGCAAGATCCTCCGATAGATAAAGGCTACGATCAACTCTACGATGTCGTCGTCTGCTCCCTCGTACTAGAAGGAGCTTCAGACAGTCGAGAAGAATACCGCGCGAATGCGGCACGACTTGCAAAGCTGGTCAAACCCGGAGGAGCTCTGTTTTGCTACGGCATCGAAAACAAGAACGGCTATTATGTATTCGGAAATCAGCGTTTGCCAAATATCCATTTGTGCCATGAGTGTTGGCTGGGTGCTTTCAGTAATGCCGGATTTTGTGACCCAAAGATTCGCATCGCACCGACCTGCGATCCCAACCGCCAGTACCGATTCATTAGTTGCACGCGAAAAACTGTGTGATCTATTATTATTATCCAAAAATGTGCATGCCAGTTTAATTTTTAGCCTATACGAAACTGTTATGATAATAATTACACACAAAATTAGCCCCTGTCTGAATGCGCCATTACGACGGCCTCGCGCAAGCTCTCGCTAAAAATTCCAGTCAATCAGTGTCGGTCACCGGCAATCCTCGACACCAACACGGACAAAGAAAGTCTAGGTCCAGCTGTTTATACCGAATCATAGATCCGAGGAGATCACAAATGGGCTATGTATCAGGTGTCAAAATTTTATCTACAAGTGAAGTTACATAAAATGACTTAACTCTTTGGACGCCCGATCTCCTGAAATAAGCAGAAATTGATTTAGCTATAACATATTAAAGTTACGTAATACCAAACGTCACACTGCAATTTTTGCTGAGTAAGCAGGTGTTTTTAGCTTGCGTCTTTGTTGGAAATCTTAGTGCGTCACTTCAACTTGCTAAATGCTTGGTTGCAGCATCATATTGCAATCACCAGTGGTAGTTATAATAATTATAGAATCTTCAGATCTTTGGCTCACTGTAGAGCTATATACTGTCTGACAGACATTGCTAGTGGGCTGAAAAATACTGTTGATGGATAAATCTGCAACTTTTAGTTATTATTATGATGCTGCTGACCAGGTAGATAAATGTGGTATTGTAAAGAACAGAGATATCAGCTAACTGCAGTACTGCTAATATTTTGCCTTCCTGCTCCCTTTTTGGCATGACATGGGAACACTGTCTACACTCTCTTGGCATTGCAATGTTAGACCAGTCAGGCTGCATACAGCGCCGAATGCCTTAGGACAAAAAGCTCGACTCACCTACGGTCAAAAGTGAACTTAAATAATATGTAAATGCAAGACATGTTACAAAGAAGCAAAAAGTACATAATATTGCCAATGATGAAAGAGTACTTGTGATTTGATGAGATGATGATGCATGTGGTTTTTCTGTCGTTCTTTCATGTTCCTAGGCTGGAAAAGAATGTGTAGGCACTCATTTAGATAGTAAGATACTGCTTCAATTTTCTGGTTGGTGATTTTGTGACCAGCCATTTTATGGTTACTTTGCGATAGAATGTGGAACCAGCATTTCAGAGTGGGTAGCTATGTGGCAACTACACTTATTGCTAAAAGAATGCATGTGTAGGCACTCATTTAGATAGTAAGATACTGCTTTAATTTTCTGGTTTGTGATTTTGAAAATGTATAGTGACCAGTCTATTTTATGATTAGTTTGTGTGGTGCCATGAGAAAGGGAATGTGAGGCTACTACTCAGGGTTGTATTCTCGTAATATGCGTGTCGGTCACGCTTAAGAATGTCAATTAGTCACGCTTGGGGAATGTCAATTAGTCACGCTTAGGAATGTCAAACTTCCGTGATTCATAACAAGTCCAGCTTCCGCCGTGCGCGCAGATTCGTAGGGGAAGTCTGCTTCGCGTGCAGTCAGTAGAGCGCGCGTACGAGCGGCCTCAGTCGCTGGCAGCAGGCGCGAGGCAAAATATGCGCGTGCGCATTCCTAGTACACTAAAAGAGTGTGTAGGCACTCATGGTAGAAGAGTAGAGAGGAGGTAAAAACCAGGAGCCATGAGTGAAAGTAAGTTAGCCAACCCAGGAAAGCCTCTGGTAAATGTATTGAGACGCTTGGCAACAAATGTAAGGAGAAAGGAGGAGAAATAGGCGGTGAAAAAAGGTTGTTGTAGTCTATCTTGGCATAGCGCCTACAAAAGGGCACAAAACGTTCACCAGATGTTCTCCTTACCTTGACACATAACCCTTGCCTTCAGAAGTTGGCTGTCGCTGTCTCTATCGCTCCACGTTACGTGGAAACTAGTTGACTTTGCGCGTCTGTATATCTGCCCTCTACAATCCTGGCTCAACTTGGAGGACGAAGTCCTTGCGTTCAACTTTTCGATAGTTACCGCTATAAAAGGATATACGGTAGCGTATTGCGCTGCGCGCTGTGCCGCCCATTATACATACGCTCCTGTGAAACGTGAAGGAATGTACTCCGGATGTAAACGGGCAATTAATTGCGACGTCAATGCGATGACGCATGGCCCAGCATACAACTCGCGCGTTTAGCGCCGAGGGTTTGCACTTCAGTACTTTTCAGTGGAGTTTCTGAGTGTACCGACTAGTCAGCCACGCTGAAGGCAAGCAGATAAAATGAAAAGCACTGAAGTGCAAACCCTCGGCGCACTGTGACGCGCACGCGTAAGTAAACGCATGCGCCAGTACCACTAATTGATGGGCTGGGTTTAGTTTTAGCTGTTACTCGTGGTCTCTTGCCAGCTCGCGCAGAGTCTGACGCGGGCTAACTACACTACTAGATAGCATGCGAGAGGCGATACACGCCCTGCGTTGCATCTTCTGGTGCCTCCGAAGTACGCAGAGCACGCGGATCGATCCGACTGTGGTAAGCCATGCCGTCCGTTGTGTATTTGCATGTTGGCTTTTTCGCGCTCTAGCTTTGCAACGGAGCATTTTCAGAGAAAACCGCCTTTATTTTCTGACCTTCAATGCCCGTTCAGTAGGTCGTAAGGTAGATGTTGGTATTTTGAGCCACTTAAACTTTCTTCTTAATTTTTCCTCCAAATACCGGTGAATTAAAGTGAAATTTATGTTACATGACTATCAAGACATGGCGATTCTAAAAATCAAATCGGTTTCAGAATATATTCATAGTAGGTAATGCAAAATATTTGCTTTATAACCCTCTAAAAGCAGCAATTATGAGTCAGTGATGGTATTATGAGTCGACTTAAAACGTATTCTTTGATGAAGCAAACAGTTGCCCAGTCGTGGTTCACAATAATTACTTAGATATACAGAAAAGCAAAAAACCACAAATTAATCATAATTTGACCAAAACATTCATTTAAAACCTCCCCCAAATTAAACCCTTTGAGTCAGTGATGCAATCATTGTGACCTCTTGACTTTTGGCTATTTTGTCGGAATGTAACCCGCAGCACGTGTTAAAATGTGGCGACGATTTGCTGGGCTAACGTCCTTACGGTAGAAGCAGTTACACAGTGTTTGGCAGCTTTTAGGAATATTTACCCATAATACCTCCTGACTCATAAGACCAACACTTACCTTATCCTTTGTGAGACGAACAAACACTCGAGAAGTGAGATTGAGAGTAACAGACAGACGGACAGACAGACAAACAAACCCAATGAAAAGCACTAAAGTGCAAACCCTCGGCGAACTGGGGATGCGCGGTACCGCTAACTGATGGGCTGGGCTGCTATTAGTATATATGCATTCGTGGTCTCCCGCTAGTAGCTCGCAGAGAGTCTGACACGGGCTAGCTACAGTAGTAGATAGTATGCGAGAGTCGATACACGCCCTTCGTTGTGACTTCTTGTGCCTTCAAGATACACAGAGCAAGCGGACCCGGTCGAGGTTAACCCCTGTTGAAAATATAAGCGCATGCGCGTTTTCCGCAGCGATAAAAATGGTCGACTATGCATTAGCCATACAATGGTGGAAGCGCTCTAGCTCTGCAACGGAGCATTTTCAGAGAAAACCCCACATATTTTCTGACCTTCGTCGCCCGTTGGGTAGATGGTATCGTTTCTGGGACGAACAGACATTCGAGAGGTGAGATGTAGAGTAACAGACACACACACACACAAACCCAACTACAGTAACCCTCGCTGCGCATGCGCACCGAGGGTTAACTCCAAAGTTCCTAAGTTCATGTTATGAGCCCACGAGGGATACAACGATTATGCATACAGAAAAATATAAGCATATATAAATGACGTGAACATGAGAAGAGATTAGAGAGAATTAGAGAGGGTAGTGGCAATCGTGAGGATGTTTTCGTGAAAACCTCCTTCAATGGTTTCCAGAACTCCCGCGACAGATATGTCACTGTTGCAGTGGTCTGAGCTCACGTGCTCGAAGTACGAAGTGCTCTGGTGGATGATGTTGTTGCAGATGGGACATTCTCGCTTTCCAAACACTGGTCTGCACATTACACTCAGTAGATGTTGAGTTCCACGAACTCCGTGATCTAGGGCGATGTCCCATAGCTTGCACCATGAGGAGGCAATTCGAGGGTCCGCAATGTGCTTAGTCGACTGGTGACACTTGGCCATCTCTAGCACAATTTCCCAGTCCCTTGAGATCAGTAACTACAGTAACCGTCGCTGCGCATGCGCGCCGAGGGTTAACTACCCTGAAAACACGCGCATGCGCACACCGCTACGCACTTTGAGATAATATACGGGGTCACGGCTGTTTCGATTGCGCGTTTGCGGACATTTAGTTGTAAATGTGACGTCATACAAAAATTTTAAAATACGGTATGAGCTTGTTCCGTTCCGTTTCTAGTCAGCTCTTTTGTGCATAACGTGAGTTTTGCTGAGCTGTCAGTGCTAGCCGCGGAGAGGGCTCTTCGCTGAGCGTTCTCGTCCAAGCCATTTGCAGATACTCCGAAGTGTTAGTTGTTTAGGTTCGCGAGTACTCCCGTGACTCTGACCCCTTGTAACTTTGCCGTGCCAATTTTGGCAGCGATGACTCTGTGTCAGAACTGAAGGCTAAGGATGCAGGAACGTTGGGAACGTTGAACCGTTCTACTTCGATTTTTTTCTGGAACGCGACAGAGGAGCCCGAAACACGGTTAACCCGAAAGGCCGGTGCGCGATTTATTATGTGAGTTACCCAGCTAGCTAAGTCGTCTTGTACCGTAGCGTGTGAACCCAGTTATTCTTCTACTGCGCTTGGTGGGAGGCAGTGCAGCTACATGGCTAGGTAGAGACTTGAGGAGGTGGTCTGTGACGACGCGGCGGAGTCTCTCCACGGGGTCGTGGCGCTGATTCCTGTGGCGGACTTCAATGCGGTTGAACTCCGCATGTATGCTCTCCGTGCCTTGTTCCCCCATCAGTCCGAACCCTACACCACTAATCCACGGGACCATGTGGTCTTCGAGGAGGTGCAGCTTCGGGGTCACTGTTGCCTTTGGGTATGTCACCCTGATACCCACTGCATGTGTTACATGTTAACTTTCAGCAAAACATACCAAGGTTGGATATGTTCACCTCAGAGAGGAATTTGCTGCTATAGAGGTTATGGCACACACAAAAGGTGGTGGTGAATTGGTCAGCAAGTGCTCTAGCTGAGTGGTGGGCACTCCTGTGCCACGGTGACCAGAGACTGGCACAGAGTGTTGGTGTTTTCTCGCTGCAGTGAGTATTGTAATTTGCACAGTCTGATTATAATGTAAAATATTTAACCTTCAGGCAATTTGTGAACGTGATTCCTTATAAATGTGCCACCATAATAGGCTTCACGCTGCACATGAAAACTTTTCAGCGTCTGGTTCAATCCTTTAATAAAAGGGCCTTCCTCCAGTTTGAAACCCTTCTCTATTTGGGTCTTCAGTCTGTCAATCTCTCCATCCAGCATACATTTTTGTAAGTTGAAACTTACACTTTTTGCCATGCATTCATATCAATTCATGTGTCTTCTGCTGGTATGAGTGGATTGTGTCTTTTACGTAACGAATCTGCGCCTGTGCGGAATCTTCTGACGTGGCTGTGAGAGCCATTCTGGTGACCAGCTGCTCCAAAACCCCCACTGCCTGCACATGACCATCTCTCTCCTCTGTAAGTTCATGTAGTGTCTCCAGCTTGAAGCTGTACTCCATGAACGTTACCCCACCCAGCTGTCCACTGCAGTTCTTCTCCTGTGCCAGCTTCATATCAAGCTTGTGGCTTGCTTGTTCCAGGAGAGTGTATAGCGGGTATAAACTCACATGTAGTGCAGGCAGGCAGAAGTAGATCCCAACTCTTATTCTACAGAATGTATGATAATTATACCTGTTCTCCCACATGTATGGCTGAATTACATTATTGTAGTTTTTGGCGTGTTTGATGTTGCCGCCACTCTGAGAAAATCGGTCGTAATCCCTCTTGAGTGTTTCCAGTGTGCGTGATGGTGAGTATCCGCGTGTGATAAGTGGTGTCCGTAGCTGATCGCTTGCTATATGACACCATAAGCATGAATGTACTCTCTCATAAGCACAGAGTAGTCTAATCCTAACCTGCAGCCCCTGAAATTCCGTACATTCTGCACAGAAATTCATAATCCCCACTGAGGAACAGTCGAGTGGTCTTCCCACTATCAAAATCAAAGTTTATTTGTACAAGATTTGTGTTTAATTACCTCCACATGAGTGACTGAAGTTGAACTACCTGGTCCTTGTAGCGATCCAGTGCTATGTGCAGATTTGTGATGGCCTCGAACATGGTGAATACAGATGTGTTCTTAGGGGAATTTGGGGTTGGGACATTGCACAGTTGTGCATGAACTTTCATGCATGATCCTCCTTTGTCCCCTCCCAACTTCACCCAGATCTCACCCTCTGGCAGACCACCATCCCATGTGATTCGAGCAGCTCTAAAGTATGAAAAGTGCCATGTGTACATAGGTGTACACATTACAAACTAACAGCTTATTGTCGTCAAGCAATTGCAGGATATGGTCCTCAAGGCACTCCAGGTACACGAGGGCTGAAGCCCGAACCTCCTCCCCAGCATTCCTCTGCTTCGGGAAAGTGAAAGGTACAGCATCTCCTTTCACTTTGTCTCCGATCACTCCCTGGACCTCTTTCCTTTGTTTCCCTTCTCCCTCCATGTTGACTCCCCACATTCTCTAGGTGAACTACTTAAAATGCAATAGCTATGTTGTATATAACACTTACTTCCTCAGTTGCCTAAGCTGATTCCATGGCAGGCCAACATCACATCGCATTGCTAACCCTTGACCTATATACAGACTGCAGTGTCCACCTTTTCATTGCAGTTATGACTCTTACCTGCAGGAACCCTCACTGAAAAGCCTACATCATTGAGTAGCTGTTCTCTGTTGGCCCTGGACAAGCTCTTCAACTCAAGCTGTAGTTGTCTGCCAGCGTCACCACCAGAAAATATCACTCGGACCTTGTTGAGGGTCTTTGTGCGTCGCGTGGCCTACTTGGGGGAGATCTCGGAAGTTCCACTTGTGGCTCTTGGAACCCTTATCCAGGTGCTTGGCTAAACAAGGGACCTTTATAATGACACCAATGCCATGTTGCTAAATTTGCTCTTACCCTGCCTCTTGTAGGTATAGCCAAGATGTTGTTGTCTGGAGATGTGCAGATAGAGGAAGAGGAACTTGGTGTTTGCTCAGCTACCACCAGATGTTCCTTGCACCCACCCTCTAGGTGTTTTATGTGCTTTGCAACTGCACCAATCACGGTTTTTTTTGTGGCATCTTCTGCAACAAACATGCAGTGACTCCAGTAGCTTCAGTATGACGGCTGGAGCACTGATGGCATCTAATGGATGCGACTGAATACAGCAGGGACAGGTGAGTGGGTCCAGTGTGGGAGTGTGGCACACACATGATGTGCAGCATAGTACTCCACATGGGAGTTGGAGAGGTCTGTCCAACACTCCCAGACATAGAGGACATTCTACATCTCTCAATGTGAATGGTGAGTTAGGGACTATGAACTCAATAGCCTCCTGTGTGACGAGGTTAGGTGGTGGACCTAGTTGAGATATGGTCTTCATAAAATTTTGGCGTGGACCGGGACGTCCCTTGCCACCACAACTCCGCTTTTTAGGTCTCCCTGCCTGGTGTGACTGACGAAAGTGCTCACAGGTCTACAATAAGTATAATTTTTTGCCTGTTGTTATGTGTGCATGTTTGTGTTATGTTTACCATGCAGTTCTCAGAAGTGTGTTTGTTCCAAATCATTGGTGAACAGGACGTGCATCTCTTCATAGAGCAGTAGCAGGAGTGACAGAACTCTTGGGGGTGGATTGCAGGGTCATCCCTCTCTAAGGGCAGGCCATACACTGACTGTAGATCCAACTTGTGCTGGACGACAATGTATTTCGTCTCTGCACTGCTGCAAAGCTTCCCACAAAACCGACAGTGTGTACGAAGCTCAGTCTTGTGGAAGTCTTCCCATTCGGAACTCTTTATGTACCTACAATTTAGTGTATTTTGTAACTGTCACTACTCTCTGAAAAAAATTAGAAGCTAGTTTTCCTTTGGTTTATCTGGTGCAGTGATACCTTCTCAACAGCTAGCTTAGCTTCTCTTACCTCGGAAAATTCCTCGCTTCCTGCAAAGTGGATAATACCAGAGGCACTCCCCACGCAGCTGTTGTGGGATACCTCTACAGAATGCGTGCGCGGTTGTCATAGCGCAGTGTGGGCGCTGCGCCGAATATGCTATAGTATCCAGGGAGACCAGTCCGACCAACTAGGTATGTGTGGAATGCCCAAAGGAAGAGCCTGAGGCCATCAAGGCGCTTTTGCTTTCCCCCGTTTGCAAACCGCGACGTCCGGTTTATTGCGCGATCACGTAACCAAGGAAACGGCGCCTACCTTAATTCGCGTATGCGTTCTAAATAAACGCTTAATGTCCGCCGGAAAACAGCCGTGCGCTTCAATGCTCTGTCACATGTCTTACACACCCACTCATTGCCAGTATCACTAACATATCTGAGGTCAGCACTGAACACACATTGTAGCAAGTTGTTGCTGCACTTGGTATATTTAGCTGGGTTACATGACACAACACTCTTGCTATACGTCAGACGGTGACAACATAAGCAAACAAAATCAGGTCCATTCTTGATATCAGAATGAAATGACATGTACAGACACATCACTTGTTGCTCTCATGCTTGCTTTGTGGTTTCTGTCTTTTTCTCGTCTATGCACAGTTTGCTCGCTGGCTCTCATGCTCGCCATGTGCTCTCTATTCTGCTGTTATCTATGCACAGTTTGCTCGCGGGCTTCACTTGCTCTCATGCTCGCCATGTGCTCTCTATTCTGCTGTTGTCTATGCACAGTTTGCTCGCTAGTGTCTGATGCTCTTTTACTGGCCTTTTGCAATGTATCTTTAGCTGATTTGACACTATCTGACCGTAAGATTCGCTGGCGTTTCATGGCTTTGTCTGGCAAATTATGCTCTGCTTTTCTCTTGGCTCGAAAGACATGTTGGCAAGATCTTTCAGCCTTAGTGGTACAATAGTTTCACACTGTGGGCATACCTCACTCGGAGGCATGATGCAAATAGCAACTCACAGGACAGGAGAACGTCTTCTCGTAACCGAAAAATGGGCACTTTCCACCACGTGGTCGAATATAATGCACATGCGCATTTTCTGCAGCGACAAATGGCCGACTACGCATTAGCCGTACAATGCTGGAAGCGATCCAGCTTTGCAACGGAGCATTTTCCGAGAAAACCGTTTGAAATTGACCTTCATTGCCCGTTAAGTAGGTCGTATCCTTTGTGAGACGAACAAACACCCGAGAAGTGAGATTGAGAATAACAGACACACACACAGACAGACCCAACTACTGTAACCCTCGCTGCGCATGCGCGCCAAGGGTTAAAAATAAAAAATGTGCCAAAGCGTGCGGGCTGTCTGTGATGAAGGTTAAGGTGAGTGGCAATGAGTAAGGGAGTCTATGAATATACACTGTACGAACATTAAAATTAAACAGAGATGCAGACTTTCAAGATGTGCCATTCAAAGAGAAGCCAACAGGCAGAGGTGCCAACTTTGACCCAAAGATCAGCTTGGCACAAGTACTTGAAGCTCTTTGGTGCTACAGAAGGTTTGTGAATGTAGTAATATTTCATGTAAGGTAAGCCTATCTTCGATAGGAGGAAGACAAACCATCATCAAGGAAGGCACAGCATCGTTTATGAAGGCTGCGAGTGAAGTCTACCATTCTTTGAACCCACAAGAGAGGGCTGACCTGCATTTGGAAGAGGAGCCAGAAACTCTGTGTCGAGTTGGAGACATAAAGAGGAAAGCAATAAAATATTTCCTAAAAATCCAGTCACTGGTAAGCTGGTGTTGATCAGTGATGCAGGTTACAGAAATGGTATTCATTGCCTATTCTGTATCAGTATAGATCTACTGGACCAGGGTTCCAACCTTCCAGTAGATCTACTGGAGCAGGGTGGAGCAGGGTTCCAACTTTCCTCTACTGGACCTGGGTTCCAACTTGGCTGGCAGTATATACTGTATGCTATATCCTTTTGCCAATGTATATACTCTATCTAACCCTGACCCAGTAGATCTATTGGCAAGTTGGAACCCATACATAGGAAAATGTTTATGAGATTTTGTTTTCTTGTTTTCTTGTACAGTTGGAGTCATTGAACTACCGTTGTATGGCTTTTGGGTTATTCGAAGACGATGTCCAAGTGGTTACTACCAAGGACTGCAGCTCTCCGAGGTGTCTCAAGTACATGCACGCTCTCACAGTTGTAGGTCTGTCAAGAGTTCTTCATGCTTTATCCTTCCTTATCTAATTTTCATCATCCAGCTAACCCACCACCAATTCCTACCCTTAGTGATATGATATCTGAATCTAAAAGAGGTATACAAGTAGATGGCATGATTTTTTGGAGTTATATAACACTACAGACAATGCTACAGCTGTGTCGGAGGGAGAGCCTTGTTCATCAGGCATTCACGATGAAGGTAGTCTGAATTATATTGTAATGCATGATTGTAACACTCTGAAATGATAGAACCACCATCAAAAAGAAATAAAAGGAAAACCCATCGAATTGAAGGTTAGTTTTCAAAATACTCCTCTATCATTGCTTATTCAAGGATGGTATAAAAAGAAAGGGAGACAAGATAGGGATGGGATACATGAAGCATGGTTAATGAACAGATTTGAGTACGCTGACACCCCCAACCCCATCACACAATCACTATATTGTTGCCTAGGTGAAGTATTAAACATTCACCATTACAATACTCAAAATTTACAATACACTTCTGAGTAACCAACACCTCCAAGTGGAGTTTAATTAAAGGGAATGTGGCAGTATGAAACAACAGGGACACGGTGAAAGAATGCTTGCTTTTAGTAGCACACCAGGCAACAATATAGGGATTGTGTGAAGGTGTCAGCGTACTCAAATCTGTTCATTAACCATGCTTCATGTATCCCATCCCTATCTTGTCTCCCTTTCTTTTTAAATTTTAATTCACTTGTAAGTATGAGCAATCTCTTCGGGTGATGGATATACAAAATTTCATTACTTTATTGTTATTTAGTTTTTGAGTTATGGGTGTTGAATCTGAAGAAGAAGAAGGAGAAGATGAAGAAAACTCCCAATCATAGCCCCATACATCTATGATGCTAGGTACCATGCCCATCCCTATATTCTAAGTACTACCGTACTTTGATGCCTGTATACATATATCACATGACATGCATGATCACAAGGCACGACTTGGTAATAAATAAAGGAGTGCACACCTTCATGGTTAGGTACTAAAATGGCACCACTAATACTGATTGGGCTAGAGAGAAGGTCCAATGGTTCGTGTTCTGCCCGCCAAAGCCGACGCAATATATTAATGCCAATATAAGTGTATATACTCATGTGAAGTGTCCTTTTTGTGTGTTGGTGGCATTATAATATTGTTCTCTCACACACTTTTTGTAAGCCAAGTAAGCCAATACTGCTGGTTGCCTCTTCTAGTGACGATATAAGTTGTTAACAGAGGTTGGTGGTGTATTCCAGGCCTGACGAAACTGCTACTGGTGAGCTACAAAGTTTGTTATATATGACCCACTACGAGAAAATGGGACATCTGACGAAAATATTATTTGTTGGGGACGGGTGATAAAGTTGCGCGACCGCACTTTTTTCAATACTGTGCCCACGGACTACTACATTGTCAAAGAGCTTGCTGGCAGCGTTATAGACTTGTTTTTCTGGTAATTAATGTGTAATTACGGAAGTAGGCAGGCAAGCACGCGCAGACACGCAGCGCAACAGTGCTCACACTATCGCGTATCGCAGTGTTTGCAGCGTGTTCTGCCCGCCAAAGCCGACGCAAGCTACCCAGGTAGGTCGCCGTACACGGCGACGTTATATGGAAAATAAATGTACTACTCCACGGAAGTGCGAGAAACTTTTCCCGCATGAACAGAGAAGATTCGATAGACTACACTCTCTGGAAGACGGATGCGTTCAAGAAACCAAGTAAACTTGAAAAATTACATAATGGTAAAAGGACTACGTATATATACGGAAAATTTCGTGTTGTCGAATTCTTGGCTTACCAGGTACTGGGCAAGCACAACACCTTGACACTTTGCCGTATATGAAGGGCAAAATATCAAAATTCTCAGTGACGATAGGGTTATCAAATAGTAATTTCACATTCATTGACTTCCCCCTTTGTAGAAAAATGGAGAGTGTCGATCTTTATTTCACACAAACCACGTGGGCATTGCCTTTATGGAAAAGTTGGTTTTCTTATTGCGTGTACATAGGTTATGCTCAGATCAAGCTTGTTGACGTTTACAATGTACTGCACTATCCTTTTATTATTGAGTCCTCTGTGGCACACATTTGTGCGTACATATCCCTCCCTCATATATAATTACACACAACTCCTTTTAAAAGATGTACTTTTGTCGTCTGAGCTGTGGTGCCTGTAAGACTTATGCCTACTCTGTAAGTTGAGACAACAGCGTATTTTGTTGAATAATGACTGTGAACATTGTATTACAGGTTCGTGTAGGGGGACGTGTAGAGAGTGTGTGCCAGAAGGCGTTCGCTTCACTGTATGGTGTTAGCATATCTAGAGCGAGACGCATTGCGCAGGCAACGTCAACCTCGATCTGTGCTCCTGTCGACAAGCGTGGCAAACATCCAAAAGCATCCAGGAGTGCTCGGCAGAACATCAAAGACCACTCAACATCCATGACATTCTACCTTCCACTTGGGGAAAAGTCTGGACTAACCATCTAATCTAAAGGCTACTCCTGCTGAACCCATGTTGACCAGTTATTGTACACAATACTAAAGTGTAAATGTGTGGCGAGTAGGGGCGTGATTTATTCAGCACATGTGCGCTGCGTTAAGCCATCGACGACGTACACATGGTTTCTGCCTAGCTCTCAGAGCATGGGCTAAGCCATCATTAACCTTGGCAAGACACGGACATAATATGTCCAGAGCCCCATAAGATTGGGCTATAGTACTAGGCGTTAATATCAATTTCTGCTGTAAGGATATAACAATGGCATCCAGGGTGAAGTCACACTTATGAACCCATACTCAAAAACTGTGTGATTTGTGATCAACACTCACGGCGTAAATTGGGCAGAATGCAATCGAGGTATATACCTCACTGCTCATTAGAAGATTGGCTTGCACGCTTTGTTTTCATGCCAAAACTTTGAACGCAGCATTTTTAGGTTGGTTGCGCGATGTGGCAGAAAAGTGAGAACTACTGTATAATCCTCGTGCATGCGCTCCGATCGTTAATAATGAGGTTTTCATGAGGAACATCAAAGGAGAGAGTGTGATATGTGTATATACAATGTGAAAAATGTAACAACTAGTCAGTATCAGATGCAAGAGTAGAGGCTGAAAGAATGTTTTGGTAGTAGCTCTTGAACTCAGCTGGGACATACTTATCGGCTATTTTTGCTAAGTCACGACTCTTATTCTCTTTCAGTGGAACTGGCGCAGAATACTTCCGGGAGCTTACAGGATTGGGCAGGTCAGGAGATGCATCACGTTTAAGGATTGTGAATTTTTTCCATTCGGTATCAGGTGATTCAGGACTGTACTTTACCCACACTTCAGTTGGGTGGGTGGCAGAGTATTCGAGCACTCTAGCATGAGAGATTTTAAGAGCTTGTTTTTCCTGATTTTTGACTAACTTCTTGAAATACTTCGAAAATTGCACTTGCCAATCTAGAAACATTGTCCTGTCACATTCAACAACTTTGAACGGCTTACGAATTCTGGCGCTTCTGATTATGTCCATCCATTGTTCACACGTGTAAACTCGCTCATGTTTTCGTTTTTTCATCTCAGTTCTTCCAAAATCTCGATCGTTTGGGAGACAACTATGCCCACGAACCGGAAAAGTATGTGTTATTTTTGAAAACCTTTTAGTAAACACTAAGGTAAACAGATAACTCATTACGTTAGAATTCTTATTTTGGCCTGGGCATCCATCTGAAAATAGGTATAGTGTATTAACCGATCTCGGTAGCTCAGTGAAAAAATGATGGAGACATGATATTACTTCATCACTTCCTCTTTTAGCCATAACCTCTGGCCAGCAATACATGCTCACTTGGTTATTACCACAGCTGTGTACTCCAAAAACAAACAACCATAACTGCTGCATATAAAATAAGTCACCAACTGGAATATGCGGTAACGGTAAAGTTTGTTGAAAGTCAAAAGTCACGGTTAACACAGAACTATCACTCTTAGCCAAATCTGTTTTCTGGCGTAGAGTAGCATAAAACATTTCTGCTGAATCTAGATGGATACGATGGTCAGCTTTTACTTTCACTTTACTTGCCTCATCAACCTGTAGAGCAAGCTTATTTTTGAAAATTTCGCATGTAGGACACGTGTCTGTTTTTGGAGTGCCGAACGTCAGATTAAACTCAGTGTTGAAAATTTTAGCATAGTATGAATATTTAACCACCGGATTGTCGGCATCACCCTCAAACTTCTTCACATACAGACGGTGCATTTCGGCTATAGACAGTAGTGGAGAAAGATACCTGCGAGTCTTTGTTTTCCCCCGTGAATAATGTGACTTCATAACAGGAAATGACTTAATGTGCTGACATATCTGGTCTTTGATGTTCTGCCGAGCACTCCTGGATGCTTTTGGATATTTGCCACACTTGTCGACAGGAGCACAGATCGAGGTTGACGTTGCCTGCGCAATGCGTCTCGCTCTAGATATGCTAACACCATACAGTGAAGCGAACGCCTTCTGGCACACACTCTCTACACGTCCCCCTACACGAACCTGTAATACAATGTTCACAGTCATTATTCAACAAAATACGCTGTTGTCTCAACTTACAGAGTAGGCATAAGTTACTAGCCGAGGTGTGCTTGTGGCACCTCTGGGGCGTCACCTCTCAACAGAGTTGGACTGGATGAGTCCAAATAGGTGTGCATCTTGTAGGTCTTTGTTAGCTAGCGCATTGAACGCATCAAGTAGGCGAGCCCTCTCTTCTGTCGACACTCGCTCGAAACAACCCCTTTTGCAGTGACAATTGGGCCCAGTTGCTCTAGCAAGAACAATCTTTCCCGTACACTGGGATGTGTACTCCTCGCCTTTCGCTCTCTTGGCCTTCGCAACGCTTTTCTTCCAATTTTCGGGATTTCTTGGTCGCTTTCTTGGGCGGTGGGGGGTGTCGCTCGATCCATTGGTCGAGTTGCCATTTCCTGTCGCCCGAATTGTCACTGCTATGTTTGCTTCTATACAGAGACCACTAGGTCCTGGATCTGAGCCCATGGAGGCCATCGATGGACGAGTAGAAAGACACGCGATACCAAAACCTACTGCGCATGCGCGTAAACTTGACCTTTGTCCTTTACACTTTGACCTTCGGGTCAACCGTCATTTATGGTGCGTACTGGTTCGATTTGGTGATGCTAAAAGGGAAGCTGTTCGGAAAATCTTAAATATTGGACTTGTGCTATTCTTACTCTAAACAGCTCAATTCATTTTGCACACTCCCTTTTTGAACCTCCCACACTCTGTTTGATAAGGCTTTTCCATGATGTACAGTACATAGGATATATACAGTACACACATGTACATGATCTGGACCCACCACTTCGAG